AGCAGGAAGCAGTGCCCCTTCCCCAGGCAGGTAGCTCCGTGCACAGAGCCCTGATCCCCTGGCTGGGCAGGGCTCGTTAAGCAGCTGCGCAACTCGGAGGAAGCCTGGCTTCCAATCCCTAAATTCTGGAAAGTGAATTCCAATACTAGCACTTATAAGATCTGTGGGAATGAGAGAAAGAGGCCTACATTTTCAGTCAGCTCTTGGCATGCCACGGGCGGGGGAGCTGCTACAGTCCGACCAGCGCTCCCATTGAATTGGTCAACTGGTTAAACGTAACGTTTAACCAGTTAACTGATTAAACACGATTTTACATCCCTACTGTGGGCCACGGACATGTGGAGATCCATGGTGTTACCTCTACCCGCAAAGAAGTCCTGTGGCTCTTAAAACAGATTTTTTGGGCATAAGCTTTCATGGGAAAAAAACACTTGTCACACACATGGAGCGATGACATGGTTTTTATTCACAAAAGCTTATGCCCAAATACATCGGTTAGTCTTTAAGGACTGCCACTACTGCTGCCCAGGACTCCTCGGTTTTGTAGATATAGACTAACATGGCGACCCCCTGAGATTTCTAAGAAGTATTACAATAAAAATTCAAAATGCTTCCCTAATCTGACAGCTTTGCAGACAACTGCAGTAGAGTAGAACCTCAGAGCCAGTCACTAGAGAAGCGAAAATGTGGGGTCTAGAGCTCACCTTTGCTCCCCACCTCCTGAAAGGGGTAGCACTGAATTTGGCCCCCAGTCAGGGAGCAGCCAGGAAAAGGAAATAGGGAAAGGAAGGTCGGTAATCTAGGCACTTCTTTGAGCATCAAGAATCATTCGCCCCATTCTACAGAGTGGGAGGGATGAAAATAAGCTACAGGGAAGTCACTAAGCAAGAATAGGAAAGTATGTAAAGGGAAACTGCTGTAATTGTTTCCAGGACTACAGGGAGCCATGCACAAAAACCCATGATCTTCTGGGATGACTTACTTCCCACTACCCAACAGCACAAAGTGATGGATTCTGGTTGAAAATGGCTAGCAGGAACTCCCCTTGTGGAGGGAAAGTCCAGTTGGCATAAAGCAGCAGAGGCAGTGCCTGCCCCCGGTTTCGGCAGCAGGTTAGGAGATGGAGGATACCTTTCCCTTATGCCAGTGCCACAGGGTAAAGCAGCACATCACCTGCTCTAATACTAGAGCAGAAACAGAGAGCCAGTGATGGACTGGCCTTGATCCTGCACTAAAAGTAATTTGGGCACAGAGGAAAACTGAGCCTAGCTTCACTAAAACAGCATATGTACCATTGCATGTGGATTTTCAAAACAGGCTGCTGCTGGCTTTGAGTGGCTCAGGCACGATGAGCAAATTGCTGATTAAGGCTCAGATTGTTCAACATTAGGGAGGAAATGTGCGAGAGTATCTCCTTGCAGAGATCCCTCCCACTTCATCCCAGAGGTGGTGGGAAGTCAGGCAGTGGTTTTCCCTAAACTTGACTGACCCTTGGGGATCTGCGTGGCACTGGGCCAGCCACATGGTGGCACTGTCTCTCGGCACCGACTCCAGCTCCTTGGCAGGTTAGAGCCATGTGCAACAGCTCCCTCTGGGCCCTCAGCGGGAGGGGTAGAGGAGGGACCCCCAGACTACTAGATATGATTGATCTACATAGGACTGGAGGAGGGAGATGAGGGGCACTCCATAACCCACCCACCCAGAGCAGACCTTGGACTACATTTGGGAAGACCCATCTCCTATGTGGTCCTGGAGGGTGGTATATAAATCAAAGATACTCCATCTGGGATGTGTGTAGTAGTAAAACGGTATGGAAGAATTAGAGGGGGTTCAGAGATCCCTGCACATGTACATGTTTTTGTGTTTCTGTAAGGGCTTGAGCATATGCATATTAATTCATGGAAGTGTGTTTGCATGTACCCACAAACGCATGGAAGTGACTGCTACACTGTGTTAATATCTGAACAGGAGCAATTCTGGGGAAGTGACAGTGTATAATGTGAGGAACTCTGCTACAGTGCACTACAAAATCTGTGAGTCCCCCTTTTTGTGTGTGTTGAGTGTAGAGGGTAGATGTGATTCATAATGGTGTTTCCATCTCTTGCACAAAAATACTTACCAGTTTTGGTAATGGGCCACTCCTTGGAACTCATCAGCCTCCTCATCGTGTCATAGCGGGTGTCACAATTTTCTCTATTAAAGCAATACC